ATGGAGAAGTCAGGGGAGGGGGCATGGGCTGGAGGGAATACTAAGAGCTCAGTTTTGGAAAGATTGAGTTAGAGGAAGTGGAGTGACATCCCATGCCGATTATTCGCTTAGTAGGTTAGTAATGCAAGAGGAGACTGAAGGGGTGAGATGAGGAGGTGACTGAAGGGGTGAGGTGAGGAGTAGAAAGATAGATTTATGTATCATTATCATAGAGATGGTACTTTAAGCCATGGGAGTTTATCAAGTGACCAAAGGAGGAGGTGTTGATGTAGAAGAGAAGTGGTCCAAGGACAGATCCTTGAGGCACCCCTATAGAAAGAGGGAGTGAAGAGGAGGAGGCAGCATTATAGGTAACGCTGAAGGAGCGCTATGATAGGTAGGAGGAGAACCAGGAGAGAGCAGAGTCTCTGATACTCAGAGAGTGTAGTTTTTTGAGGAGGAGAATGGTCACCCATATCAAAAGCTGCAGAGAGGTCAAGAAGTAAGAGTATGGATTAGTGGCCATTGGTTGGGAGGAGTATGGAGTAGTGGCCAGTGGCTGGGATAAGTATGGAGTAGTGGCCATTGGTTGGGATGAGTACGGAGTAGTGGCCGTTGGTTGGGATGAGTACGGAGTAGTGGCCGTTGGTTGGGATGAGTACGGAGTAGTGGCCGTTGGTTGGGATGAGTACGGAGTAGGGCCGTTGGTTGGGATGAGTACGGAGTAGTGGCCGTAGGTTGGGATGAGTACGGAGTAGTGGCCGTTGGTTGGGATGAGTACGGAGTAGTGGCCGTAGGTTGGGATGAGTACGGAGTAGTGGCCGTAGGTTGGGATGAGTACGGAGTAGTGGCCGTAGGTTGGGATGAGTACGGAGTAGTGGCCGTAGGTTGGGATGAGTACGGAGTAGTGGCCGTAGGTTGGGATGAGTACGGAGTAGTGGCCGTTGGTTGGGACGGAGCAGTGAGTACGGAGAGTACGGAGTAGTGGCCGTCGGTTGGGATGAGTACGGAGCAGTGGCCGTCGGTTGGGTTGAGTACGGAGCAGTGGCCGTCGTTGGGATGAGTACGGAGCAGTGGCCGTCGGTTGGGATGAGTACGGAGCAGTGGCCGTCGGTTGGGATGAGTACGGAGCAGTGGCCGTCGGTTGGGATGAGTACGGAGCAGTGGCCGTCGGTTGGGATGAGTACGGAGCAGTGGCCGTCGGTTGGGATGAGTACGGAGCAGTGGCCGTCGGTTGGGATGAGTACGGAGCAGGGTTTGAGTACGGAGCAGTGGCCGTCGGTTGGGAGTGAGTACGGAGCAGTTGGCCGAGTACGGAGCAGTGGCCGTCGGTTGGGTTGAGTACGGAGCAGTGGCCGTCGGTTGGGATGAGTACGGAGCAGTGGCCGTCGGTTGGGATGAGTACGGAGCAGTGGCCGTCGGTTGGGATGAGTACGGAGCAGTGGCCGTCGGTTGGGATGAGTACGGAGTAGTGGCCGTCGGTTGGGATGAGTACGGAGTAGTGGCCGTCGGTTGGGATGAGTACGGAGTAGTGGCCGTCGGTTGGGATGAGTACGGAGTAGTGGCCGTCGGTTGGGATGAGTACGGAGTAGTGGCCGTCGGTTGGGATGAGTACGGAGTAGTGGCCGTCGGTTGGGATGAGTACGGAGTAGTGGCCGTCGGTTGGGATGAGTACGGAGTAGTGGCCGTCGGTTGGGGGATGAGTACGGAGTAGTGGCCGTCGGTTGGGATGAGTACGGAGTAGTGGCCTTCGGTTGGGATGAGTACGGATTAGTGGCCATTGGTTTGGATGAGTACGGATTAGTGGCCATCGGTTTGGATTAGTATGGAGTAGTGGCCATCGGTTGGGATGAGTACGGAGTAGTGGCCTTCGGTTGGGATGAGTACGGATTAGTGGCCATTGGTTTTGGATGAGTACGGATTAGTGGCCATCGGTTTGGATTAGTATGGAGTAGTGTGGCCATCGGTTTGGATTAGTATGGAGTAGTGGCCATTGGTTGGGATTAGTATGGAGTAGTGGCCATTGGTTGGGATGAGGATGATTGGTATGGTAGTAGTAGTGGCCATTGGTCTTAGCAGTTAGTGGATCACTAGTGAGGTTTAGTTGGGGTGTCAGTGGAGTGTAGTGAGTGAAAGCCAGACTGTAAAGGGTGAAGAAGGTTGTTGTCAGTGAGGTGGGAGGAGCTCAGGCGATTGTAGACTAAGCGTTCTAGGAGTTTAGAGGTAAATGGCAGCAGGGAGATGGGTCTTAAGTTGTTCAGGTTGGTGGGGTCCAGGGAGGGCTTTTTAAACATGGGAGTTATATGCACATCTTTAGAGGGAGGGGAAGGCACCAGGAGAGAGGGAAAGATTGAAGATGTGAGTGAGGGAGCATAGGATGGAAGAAGAGGGTGACCGTAGTAGTTGTGAGGGGACAGGATCAGGGGGCAGGTGGTGAGACAGGCTTCTGAGAAAACCTTAGTGACCTCTTCGGTAGTAGCGAGGTCAGAAGAGGAAAGTGTTGAGAGAGGTTTAGTATAAGGTATGCTAAGTGGGATGGATGTCTGTGCAGTGGTGATGTCCCTACGAATTGCATCAGTCTTGTTTTTGAAATGATTTGCAATCTCATGAGCAGTGAGTGAGGTACTGGGTGGAGGTGGAGAAAGTAGAGAGTTAAAGGTAGAGAAGAGAAAACGAGGACTAAATGAGAAGGTATTAATGAGAGGGACAAAGTCGTCTTGTTTGGCAGCATGGAGGGAGGAATTGTATGTGAAGAAAGCAGATTTATATCGGGTGAATGCTTGCTGAGATTTGGTTTTACGCCACAATCGCTCCAGCGCACGACTATGTCACTTAAGATTTCTGGTGTCTTCAGTCTGCCAAGGTTGTAACGGTTGGGGCCTGATGCTTCGTGTTGTTAGAGGAGCAAGTGAGTCTAATGTGGATGATAGTGAACTGTTGTAGACAGCAGTGGCCAGGTCAGGGCAGGACAGGGGAGAGATTCTGTCATAGAGTTGGTCAGTTGCAGAGTGGAAAGGAGCCGGGTTCAAGTTGTGAAGGTTTCTGCGGGTAATTGTTTGCTGCTTGGAGGGATAGGTGTTTGAAGACGAGGAGACTGTGAAGGTGATGAGATTGTGATCAGAGAGAGGAAAGTGCAAAGATTTGTGAAAACAAGGTCTAATGTTCTCCCATCAAGTGGGAGTGGAAACAAGGACTAATGTGTCCCATCAGAGTGAGTGGAGGACTGTATACATTGTGCTAATGCAAAAGATGAGGTTATGTTGAAGAGTTGGGATGTAGCCGGGTTGTTGACATTAATAAGGATGTTAAAATCTCTGAGAATGATAGCGGGTAGTTCAGAGGAGAGAAAGTAGGGTAGCCAGGCAGCGAAATCATCAAGAAAGCGGGACACGGGTCCAGGAGGCCGATAGATCACTGCAATCCTCAGAGAAATGGGAGAAAACAGCCGGATGCAGTGAGTCTCGAAAGAAGAGAAGGATAGAGAGGGAGGGTTAGGGGGGACTTGAAAGGTGCTCAGTGGGGACAGAAGCAAACCAACCCTACCACCTTTCTGACCACTGGGTCTGGGTGAGTGGGTCCAGAGGAGGCCTCCATAGGAAAGTGCTGTGGGGGAAGCAGAATCTGCTGCTTGGAGCCAGGTTTCTGTAATTGCTAGTAGGTTAAGGGAGCGGGAGTCAAAAAGGTCATGGACAGAGGTGAGCTTATTACAGACAGAGCGGGCATTCCAGAGCGCTTATGAAAAAGGGAGCCTGGTTTTTGGGAGCACAGGGACTGATATTAAATTGAGGGGATTGTGGCTATTCCATGGAAGAAAGAGGATGCCTGGTGTGGGGGTGAGATAGTGGGGGGGAGATATCCCCAGAGGTTAGGAGAAGGAGGGATGCCTGTGGGAGGACCAGGGTTTGGGGAGATATCCCCAGAGGTTAGGAGAAGAAGGAGGGTGCCTGGTGTGGGGGTGAGATAGGAGGTTTTTGGGGAGATATCCCCAGAGGTTTGCCCGGTGGGGAGATATCCCCAGAGGTTAGGAAGGAGGGTGCCTGGTGTGGGGGTGAGATAGTGGAGGACCAGGGTTTGGGGAGATATCCCCAGAGGTTAGGAGAAGGAGGGTGCCTGGTGGGGGGTGAGATAGTTGGAGACCTGGGTTTGGGGAGATACCCCAGAGGTTAGGAGAAGGAGGGTGCCTGGTGTGGGGGTGAGATAGTGGAGGACCAGGGTTTGGGGGGAGATATCCCCAGAGGTTAGGAGAAGGAGGGTGCAGAAAGTAAGATGGGAGCGGGATGTACACGAGCGCACATGCCTTCCAGTCCTGGTGTTTGGGTCAGCAGCAGGAGAGTGAAGTATCAGCAGGAGGTGATGAGAGCAGTAGTAGGGAGATGGTAGCAGTGAGGGGGAGATGTACAAGTTTTGGGGTGGAGCAGAGGGGTAAAGAAGTGAGATTTTGGGAACGCAGGAAAGTAATATGAAAAGGAGGAGTAGAGGGGACATATGAAAGGTACACGGAGTGGCACTCAGACTTGTAGGAGATGTTTCCCGGGGTGTTTGCTTGCAGTCTGTTCAGCATGCAGGAGAGTTTCTTGTTGTTTTATCTTCCTTCTACTTTAGTTCAACTGCTTCTTAGCACTTCATCAACGCAGCACACACTCAAATGCAGCACCCCATCAGTGACTGTGCCCCACCATCAGTGATCTCCCCCCATAAGCTGTTCTAAATTTATAAGGGGATGGCCCAATGAGCACTCATCTCCACCCCAATTAGGAACTGATAAGGATCACATGAATGGGGGGGATGATTCTCAAACAGACCAGACACAGGCCATAGTCATAAAACCAGTAATAAGATGTTATGTTCTATTTACACCCAGTAACCCCCCAGTCATGTCTGTCCTCTTCCTCCATAGCCATGTCCATCCTCTTCCTCTATAGTCCTGTCCGTCCTCTTCCTCCATAGTCCTGTCCGTCCTTTTCCTCCATAGTCATGTCTGTCCTCTTCCTCCATTGTCATGTCCGTCCTCTTTCTCCATAGTCACTGTGACATCTTTTATCTCCAGCAGAGGATACACATCAATATTTAGAAGGACACAAGGATCTCTACAAGGACGTCATGATGGACAATCAGCCGCCCCTCACATCACCGGGTAAGAGGAGACTTTATTGTAAAGGAGAGAGCAGTACGGAGGATCCACCTAGATCCCCCATCATCTGATAAACACATAGAAACAATGGATTCAGTCAGTGTGTGTGTTTCCTACAGATGGATCCAGTCATGGGAACCCACCAGAGAGATGTCCCCGTCCTCTGTATCCGGGATTCCACACAGGAAGGTCACACCATCCCTCACCATCATCAGGTAGATGATGACAATTATTGGTAGTTGTGATTTATACACAGCATGTTTGTTACAATGAATGTTTTTTATTATATCTTTCAGAGTGGAATCCTCGGGGATGATAATATTGATGTTAAAGAAGAGTATAAAGAGGAGGATGAGGAGTATGGAGTGATGGAGGAGGAGTTTTTCAGAAGGACACAAGGATATGATGGAGCCACCTAATACCAGGAACCCACCAGAGAGATGTCCCCGTCCTCTGTATTCCCGGGATTCCACACAGGAAGGTCACACCATCCCTCACCATCATCAGGTAGATGATGACAATTATTGGTAGTTGTGATTTATACACAGCATGTTTGTTACAATGAATGTTTTATTATATCTTTCAGAGTGGAATCCTCGGGGATGATAATATTGATGTTAAAGAAGAGTATAAAGAGGAGGATGAGGAGTATGGAGTGATGGAGGAGTTTTCAGAAGGACACAAGGATATGATGGAGCCACCTAATACCAGGAACCCACCAGAGAGATGTCCCCGTCCTCTGTATTCCTGGGATTCCACACAGGAAGGTCACACCATCCCTCCCCATCATCAGGTAGATGAGGAACAATCACTGATAGTATCATTAGGATCTGTACGTTAGAATAAAATGTACAAAGCGAGTGCCATCCAGTCAGCAGCTAAGCACTGAAGGTAACCAACATAAACCTTACAATAGAATAAATAAAATAGTGCAGCGCTAAAATAATGATTCATATAAAAGGGAGGTAAAAATAAACAATAAATAATAAAATTTTATGTAAATAAACAATATATGTAAACGCACTTAAAAAATTCAAATGGAGACTAGTTATCAGATTAGCACAAAGGTAACTAGATAAAACCTTTAAATGAACATAAAGTATATAAGTGCAGAGCTCACACTAAATAAATAAATATGATATAGAGTTCGTATCAGTGACTGAAAATATACAATTATAAATATATGGGGCAAATAATTTGTGTCAGTGACTAGATAGAGCCCATATAGTCCCAAAAGCTTCAATCGGTGCTTGTGCTCGTGGAAACAGAAGAAATGCGCACTCACCAGATGCGCAATATTAGTGCGTGTTATATCTTATATCCTGGTGTCATCAAGGTAGTCATCTGAGCCAGTTGTGGAAAAAGGCTTCCTCTCAAGGTGGATGGGTCCTGGGACTTTAAATGTTGATGATCCAGGGGTGTCCAGAGTTCCCCTTAAGGGATAGGTGGGTGCAGCTCACAAGGGTTAACTGGAGGTTCCCTCTCTGGAGGTAATGGACTGGTACTGGGCGTCGTCCCCGAATAAAGATGGCCACCGGAGCTCCATGATGCTCCGATGGTGTGACATCATGATGGCGTGACTTGGCTCCTCCTTACACGTTACGTGCACAACGCACATCATCAGACGAAGATACCATTGGCGCCATGACGTGACATAAGGCTTTCAATAGGCAGAATGGCGCATGCGTATCAAGCCGGCACCATTTTGCTGAAGCCTAAAGAGATTGCTTACTCTCGTGCGCTGATGCGCCATTTTACTAGAGGTTTTTTTATATAGATAAAAAGATTATGTACATTTGTTCGCTTATGCGGTATATTACCTTAAATTCTAAATGTCAAAAGAGTATAATATAATAAAAACTCCTAATATATTGAAATATATTGGTGATGCAGGTGTGGTAATGCTTTACAGTTGCAAGAAAAAGTATGTGAACCCCTTGGGATTACGTGGAGTTTTGCATGAATTGGGCATAAAATGTGCTCTGAACGTCATCTAAGTCACAACAATAGAAGAAACACAGTCTGCTGAACATAATACTACACAAAGATTAGATGTTGCCATGTTGACTCCAATCAGTGTGATGATATTGGATGTGTTGCTGACAGCTGTCCTGCTCTTAAAAAAACACACACCTGTTTTGGGTTTACTGGTTTCAAGAAGCACTGTCTCATGTGAACCATGCCTCGCAGAAAAGAGCTCTCAGAAGACCTATGATCAAGAATTGTTGACTTGCATGAAGCTGGAAAGGGTTACAAAAGTATCTCCTTGAGCCTTGATGTTCATGTGTCCACGGTAAGACAGACTGTCTACAAATGCAGAAAGTTTAGCACTGTTGCTACTCTCCCTAGGAGCGGTCGTCCTGTAAAAATGACTGCAAGAGCACAGCGCAGAATGCTGCATGAGGTAAAGAAGAATCCCAGAGTGTCAGCTAAAGACCTACAGAAATCTCTGGCACATGCTAACATTTTTGTTGACACATCTACAATAAGGAAAACATTAAACAAGAATGGAGTACATGGGAGGACACCACGGAGGAAGCCATTGCTGTCCAAAAAGAATATTGCAGCACGTTTGAAGTTTGCAAAAGAGCACCTGGATGTTCCACAGCACTACTGGCAAAATATACTGTGGACAGATGAAACCAAGATTGAGTTGTTTCAGAAGAACACACAACACTATGTGTAGAGAAAAAAAAGGCACAGCACACCAACATCAAAACCTCATCCCCACTGTAAAACATGGTGGAGGGAGCATCATGGTTTGGGGCTGCTTTGCTGCCTCAGGGCCTGGACGGATTGTTGTCATTGATGGGAAAATGAATTCCAGAGTTTATCAAGACATTCTGTAGGAAAACGTACGACCATCTGTCCGCCAACTGAAGCTCCGCAGAGGATGGTGATGCAACAGGACAATGACCCAAAGCATACAAGTAATTCAACAAAACAATGGCTGCAACAGCACAGAATACACCTTCTGGAGTGGCCCAGTCAGAGTCCTGACCTCAACCCGATTGAAATGTTGTGGCATGACCTTAAGAGAGCGATTCACACCCAGACATCCCAAGAATATTGCTACACTGAAACAGTTTTTTGTGAAGAGGAGTGGTCCAAAATGACTCCAGATCGTTGTGCAGGTCTGATCTGCAACTACAGGAAACGTTTGGTTGAGGTTATTGCTGCCAAAGGAGGGTCAACCAGTTAATAAGTCCAAAGGTTCACATACTTTTTCCTCCCTGCACTGTGAATGTTTACATGTTATGTGCAATTAAACATGGCAACATCTAATGTTTGTGTAGTATTATGTTCAGCAGACTGTGTTCTTCTATTGTTGTGACTTAGATGACGTTCAGAGCACATTTTTATGCCCAATTCATGCAAAACTCCACGTAATTCCAAGGGGTTCACATACTTTTTCTTGCAACTGTATATGATTAGATAAACCATTTCAGATGTCAAAGGTATAGCACTTATATGAGTGTTGGAAGTGATTGCTCTACATTAAATATTATTGATCAACATGTTGTATATTAATATCAATAAAGGATATCAATAATTAATAAGTACAAGAAGAAAAAAAATTGTATAAGAATATCAGCAAAATCATAATAAAAAAATAATAAAGTCAAATAATGATACCATTAAAAAATACACCTTTTGTATTCAAATAATAAAATAAGTAAAATATATACTGGTGTCCATTATAGTAAAATTATAAATAATTATATATAAAAAAAAAAATTTTCAGAAGGATTTGGCAAAAGATCCGATGAGTGTTAACGAATGTACTAAGACTGAAATCACATATGATATGAATATAAACAGTATTGTAAAGAATAATACACAAGAATTAAAATATATTATGCTAAAAAGCACACATTAAAAGAATGTTCAAATGAAATTAACTATTATCGATAAAACAATTAACATCTAACTCAATATTGAGTCCTGCCGGGTGCAGGGTACCTAACTTGTAAATTTGTTTGGTCTCCAGTTGGGATACTGCCCGAGTCTTATATGTCCCTCTCCAGTGCGGATGATAGTATCTATCCCTATAAACATAAGTGAGGAGGGATCTCTCTTCTGATATCACCTATAATGTAAGGAGAGGGAATGCTCCTTATACTCCATTATTATAATATTATAAATGTACTTTCCGAGACGGTCCCTCAACTTCTCGATGGTATACGACCCACATTCTGTTTTGGGGGGCATTCTACCTATATAGACTACATATTTCCTATTACAGCCCGATGAATTTGTCTAGGATTATTATTAATGTCTTTATTAGTTCTGATTAAAAGGAGAATAACTGGTGTTATTATTTCTTTCTAGTAATCCCATTAGGAG